GCTCTTTTTTCTTTTTCTTTTTATTGTGCTTGCTTTTTTTTGTTCTTTCTTTGTTAATTTAGCTCATCATTTTATTTTCAACTTTTGCTTTTATTATTTATTTCTTATTATTTCATATTTTTTCTTCATTTTTTCCTTCTAATTAACTATTTAATGATATATTTTTTCTTCAATATTTAAAAAGTGACAATTAAATTGGTGATGAAGGTGCATCAGGCTTAGGTTCTGCTTTAGCAAATTGCATTAATCTCTCAAATTTGACACTTGACCTTGGGTAAAAATAGTTTATTTGTTTTGGATTGTGATATTTTTAATTATAAAAACTAATTAAAAACAATAAAGCTCTTTTTTCTTTTTCTTTTTATTGTGCTTGCTTTTTTTTGTTCTTTCTTTGTTAATTTAGCTCATCATTTTATTTTCAACTTTTGCTTTTATTATTTATTTCTTATTATTTCATATTTTTTCTTCATTTTTTCCTTCTAATTAACTATTTAATGATATCTTTTTTCTTCAATATTTAAAAAGTGGAAATTAAATTGGTGATGAAGGTGCATCAGGCTTAGGTTCTGCTTTAGCAAATTGCATTAATCTCTCAAATTTGACACTTGACCTTGAGTAAAAATAGTTTATTTGTTTTGGATTGTGATATGTTTAATTATAAAAACTAATTAAAAACAATAAAGCTCTTTTTTCTTTTTCTTTTTATTGTGCTTGCTTTTTTTTGTTCTTTCTTTGTTAATTTAGCTCATCATTTTATTTTCAACTTTTGCTTTTATTATTTATTTCTTATTATTTCATATTTTTTCTTCATTTTTTCCTTCTAATTAACTATTTAATGATATCTTTTTTCTTCAATATTTAAAAAGTGACAATTAAATTGGTGCAATTGGTGCATCAGGCTTAGGCTCTGCTTTAGCAAATTGCATTAATCTCTCAAATTTGACACTTGACCTTGGGTAAAAATAGTTTATTTGTTTTGGATTGTGATATTTTTAATTATAAAAACTAATTAAAAACAAAAAAGCTCATTGAATTTATTTGATAGCTTTTATTTATTTTATTTTTTTATCTTTTTTATTCCACTAATATTATTTTATTTATATATTTAAAAAAATAATTTTTAATTTAAAAGTTTATTCTATTTTGATATTTATTTTAAAATTTACACTAATTTATTTTAAAATTTTTAGCGGTTTGAATAAATCATAAAAATTCAAAGTAATAAGAGAGTGTCGTAAATCAAAAAGATTAGTTGTCTTTAATTTCTAATGATAAACAACTGGTGAAAAAAGGATGAATAAATATAAAATTTTTGAATAGTATTATATATTTTATTATATAATATTTTGAAAGAGTATTTTTAACCTAAAATATAAATAGATAGATAAATAGAATTTATTATTGATTTTATATTTATAAATATCATTCATATTTTTGTAAGTAAATAAATTATTTGTAAATAATAAAAAAATAAAATTTACTTAAATAAATTAAATCCTAATAAGTAGACCCTCTGATTTCTCCAAAAACAATCAAATAATTTGAAACTTTTAGTGTAATATTACATCCTATTAAATTATATAAATGCCAAACTTTTATATGCCAGTTATATTTAATCTTAAATATTATCCATCAATCATATTTCTATCCTTTTTTATTTATCATGATTAATTAGATGCCATGATTTAAATAAAATCTCAGCGAGAAATCAAGTTTTACTTTTTATTTTAACTTTAGTTGTTTTAATGTTTTTTTCTTCTTTTTTTCTCAAATTTTTAATTTATCTTATGATCATTTTTTTCATTTTATATTTTTTAATCATAAAATAATTGTTTTTTAAATTATCATTTATTCATTCAGACAATACAAATTTGATTTTTTATTTAATAATATTTAGAGTAAATTAATGAATTTAAAAGCCGTTAATATTGAATTTGGCTTTTTATAAGCTTATTTCATATCAAGAATTTATGTAATTTTTTTTAATGTGGTATTATAAATTTTAAAATGCTTATCTTATTTTTTATTATAAAATGTTCTCTAAATATTCTAGAAAAATGAGGTTAAAACAAAAAGCACTATTTGATTTTTTGATTTCTCCCTAAGGTTTTCAATCATGGTATCTAATCTATCATGATAAATAAATAATAAATAGAAATTTAGGGGTTGCAAATTTTAATCCCTAAAATTCCTTAATAAGATATAGGATAATATTTAAACTTAAAATCCTTGATTTTTGTTAAAATGAGTGATGGTTTTGGTGAAATATATTTATTTGAGTCAATTTAATTGTAAACTTTCATTTATTTAGTAAGCTATTTATTAAGTTACCAAAATGGATAAATTTTCATAAATATAAAAATAGTAATAAATTTATCTATCTAAATTTTATGTTAAATTATCTTATTACAATAAATAAAACATATTATTTACTATTATTCAAATATTTAATATTATTTCATCCTTTTTTCAGCACCAAAAGAAATCTATTTTAAAGACAACTAATCTTTTTGATTTAAAACACTTGTTTATTACTTTTTAAAATTCTTATGATTTATAGATTAAGTTTATACTTTTAAATTATATTAAATTAAAATAAAATGCTTAAAAAATTAAAGAGAATAAAATTTTTAAATTAAAAAATTATTTTTAAAATTAATAAATAAAAAAAAATTATGAGTTAAATAAAAAAGAAAAAGAAAAAAAATTATTTAAAAACTAATAAACAAATTAAAAGAGTTTTATTATTTTAAATTCAAATTAAATACTAAAAATATTACAATCGAAAACAAATAAACTGTTTTTACCGAAGATCAAGTGTCAAATTTGAGAGATTAGTGCATTTTGCTAAAGCAGAACC